AAAGTTTTTTTGATGGGATAAAGTCACACGCAAAACACACATCACATTGATTTGCGTTTGCTGCACAAGTTATTCGGAGCCATTACTTAAATTCACTCATTTAACATGCGACTTTAATTAAATAAATTACGTTTTCTGGAACTCGTGTTGGCTTCATGACACCTTGTCGTTAAAAATATGCGATAAAAAAACTCTTTGCCCTGATGATATTTATTCAGGTATGAATTTAAAGACCACATATGCATACGACACATTTCAACATCGACACCATCACAATGGAAAATGCTTCGATGACCGGACCGAACATTTTATCTTCAATTTTCATTTGATGCTATTCACAAATGATTCTATCGACACATGAAATTCTACATGTATACTTCGCAACATCATTGCTCAAGTGTACGTTTGATTGTTTGCTCATTCACAATATGGACAGCAGATTATCTGGATTATGGCATAATTACGAAAAAGGGACGAATTTTCAAATGTAAATACATCATATGATCGGATTATTGAACAGCTCAAAATGAGAAGATGTGATAAGAGGATTTTTTTTAAATGTCAACACGGATTTCAGCAACAACATCGAATATAATGAAAATTCCGTTGAATTTTCCAATTTCATTTCTGCATACATTCAATCAACTAACATTTGAATATGAAACACGCGCTGATGCTAGTAGCACGTATAAAACGGCAGACAAGCAACCATACAATGTTGCTAGCTAGCTATCTATATCAGCTATTGCTATAGTAGGGATATAAAAATAGCTGCTATTTAACGCAGCTCTTCGCTCGGACGCTGCGTATACTCGACATTACAATGGTGTCATATTGTTTTGGAATGATTTAAAATGTTAAACATAACAATGACCAGCATCCGAGCGAAGATATGCGTTAAATAGCAATAACCGATGTAGATAGCTAGCTAGCAACATTGTATGGATTGTATGCTACATATTTCTTTTTGGTCATCAATTATAAAAATGGAAATTTGAGAAATGTATTCATCAGAGTTCGCAACTCCGACCGAGCTCCGACGCCTACCGACCGCCGACTCCGATCCGATCCGAGGATATTCATTTGTATCATTACCATGATATTTCATCGAAATTCGAACCTCTACTTTTTTAGTTTTTGTTTAAGTGTGAATTTTATTGAGAAGTATTCCGTCAAATATTGATCGGAATTGTATTAGTTTTTCTACCCTCTGATAAAAGGTTATATGAAATCCAAAAAAACCGAAGCAAAAAACTGACAAATGTCAAACAATGTCGTAAGCCATTATGTAAGAGATAAAAACAAAAGCGAATCTAATAGGGTAAAGCTCTAGAAACAAAGAATATCTCAAACATTGGCCATTGTTATTTTTACTCCCTGTGGAACCAAAAACAAATTAAATTCATCCCATATGAAAACAATGTTACATTTTTGCGTCTTCCATTGGCTCAAAAGCATTCAAAAAGCCTTCTTATTTTCATTTTGTTCGCCTTTCGGATTAAATTTATGCACTTTTTTCTTCCAAAAACTTTTTCTACCATCCGGAAAAGAAAACATACCGAATTGTTTTTATTCGAACACGTATAAGATTCAAAACATGAAGACAAAATGAAGTTTTGGAAAAAGTGCAAATTTGATACGATCACTTCTACACTCCGTTTCTGTATAAGTACAGTGGTTTGGTAGACACGTGTTCTGGATATAAACTAACAAAACATGAAGTAAAAACACCTATTTTCCATGGATTTTTTTCTTACATGGCAGCTACACATGAACGTTTTGTCTTTATGAAATTAAAGTAGAGATGAAGTAAGACGAAAAAATAGCACAAGCATACTGATTTGACAGTGAATAATGTTTTTGCTAGTAAGAGTGTACGCTTTGCAGAAAAGCTATATCTATGTCAAAAGATTCATATTTTTTAGCTTGTTTGATTCAAGCAATATTCAGTGCTTCAAGAAGAACCATTTCAGATTTTACGTAATATAACATTTTCTGATACAACATTTTTCAATACCACAGAAATTTTTGTTTATTTCTACTTTGAACTTTTTTTTAAATCCACAACTGTTTTGACATCAGCGTCAATAAGACATATTTAGAGCAGAAATAACGGTTGGCACGTGCTATAAATTATAGATATATATTTTGCAATAACTGAAAGTGGTCGTTTCGAATGTGAAAGATTGTCGCATCGCTTCACAAGTAGCTGGACATCTTTTTGATTCGTTTTAAAAAGCTGACGGTGATACATTTGCTATGATGGATAATAATTATGAAAATTTGTTGATTCGAGATTAATTGATTGATGTTTGTTGTATCGCAAGCGTTTATTCCATTTGCTGTTTTCAATTTTTACATTTTAAGTATTAACGCAATATTCTGTGGCCATTTTTGAAGTGGTTGTATTTCTTACATTGGACTGTCAATGGTGTTATATTCAGTGAACAAGTTTCAATGTTTTTAATTTAATAATTACAAAACCACAACGAAATTTCAGTGAAAAATATCTGTGCGACGACATGAAATCGATATTATGATAAAGTTCCTGAGGGAAGACACAATCCATGTCAAATATACATGTTATATGCGTTTTACCAACGAAATATGATGAAAAAATAGCCACACCGGGCTACACTAAAAGCCACGTCTCTGCTATAGTGAAATTCGCATTTATATTAACATTTTTATTTTATTTGTTCGAAAAATGCCACTAATTATGTAAGGTTTAAAAAACAATTGTTCAAAAAAAATTTCATCATTTGCCAACCGATAATGACAGATTTACAATTTGCGAATCTTTTTTAATCCGCTTATTTTGATTACTTCATATTATTTTGGACCTCAATGCAACCGAACATCGTTATAAAACATTTATGTGGAAAAGTAAATCATCCTTTTGAATACATAATGATATAACATTCATTTTCATTACTTATATGTATTTTCGAGCAGATCTGCTTTATAATGTTGATGAGTGGAATATTCAAAAAACAAACCAATTTGCAGTTTATCTTCTTTCAGAAAAATATGTTTTAAATTCCAAATCGTAGAATTTATAAATTTTCCAAAATTGAATATCTGTACAGAGACGTCTCTTCGAACGTTTTCCAATCCGAATTAAAAGAGAAGCTCTTTGATTATTGTGTGAAGTACATAATTCATTCTATGATATTTACCTTCAGAATACCAAAAATGTCGGAATCCGAGCATAATATGAAATTCATCAGGCATCTTTCACATTTCAAAAAGGTCAACATTTGCGATATTGTGTACGTAATAAAAATAGAAAAGATAAATGCATCGTATCGCGGTCACAAGATTGATAGAGAGTACGTTTTATGTCTCAAGTGTCCTTAGAAATTCAATTTTTGCATCAAAGTTCAAATAATAATTTCAGATGAATCTATTCTATTTCGCATTGAACATGTGATCTAGATCGTGTGTCACTCTCATTTGCTTTTATAGCATAATTTTCGTCGACATAAAGATAGCTTTTTTTAGCACTCAATTACTCTTTTTCATGCTTAGAACGAAGACACAGCTGAATATAAAGGACAAGGAGAACAAAAAGTTCGAGAGAATTTGTAAATACAACATTCAAAACACGGAGAAAAAGTCGTTTCGAGAAGAGTGTGAAAATGTGATTTTTCGCACAAGGGCTGGGTGTCACGTGTATGATATGCAAATTCCGGAAGCGAACAAAAAACATGCACAAACAAAAAAGTGTTTCATTCGTTCAGCATCTGCTGCACGTATGTCATTTCTTTGTTGTGCTGAAACAAAAGAAAAATGCGTGCAAATCGAAAAACAAAATGCCTGAATGAATACCCAAAAAAAAAAGTTGGAATTTTCCCTGGAAAACGTGAATGCTTCAAATTTTAGCGAAGAAAATGCCCGGAAATCAGTGGCTCTAATAAATTTGGCGTTTGTTTTCAGCACACTAATGTAACGCAGGCAGACAGGTCTGGCAGAAATAAAGCCCTGGCATCAGTTGCAAAGTGCCTTGACGACACACGGCTGATATCACTGTCATTCATTCAAAGTTACAATGAATTTTCTCACATTTTCACTTCTTTTTCTGCATTGTATCTGGCATTGATTCCCAACATAAAACTAATTAAAAGCTCATTGTATACACGAGCCACGCCGTGCATTGCAACGTATGCTAATTTTCTACATTTACGCCAGGACGTTATGAAAAAAGCCACTTCTGTTACACTGTGCACAGCCGATGCTATTCATATCGCGCACATTCTGCATTCAACGTGTATATATGCACTGAGCGGCCGTACGCCAATGCACGATGGATTTAAATATGAGGTAACACTATCATGTTTTAGATCTTCTTCCGGCATTTCTTTGCTATCGTATGTTTTTTCTTCTCTCGCAGCATTTCCTGTTGTCTCTTTTGTGGTGGTTTGGAAAATGAGTGCAGGCCCGGAGTGAAAATTGACGTAAACAGTTTTCGCAATAAAGAAAATTGTCGTGCAAAGTGGCGCATACCATCACAGGCAACACGACAGTATATCTAATACCTGTGTAAGCTATTTATTACGCTTGAATTGAAACACAAAAAGATGCGAATGGAGCGAGAGGCAACGAAAAAAATGAAGAGAACCTGTCAAGCGGATTTCAGAGCATGTGTAAGTAAATATGCTTTCACAGATTACGTACTCTATTTTAAAACAGACCTCTGTTTTACCCATTTGTGCTGAAGTGGTTAGGTCAAATTGTGGCGATGATTTTAAAGCTCTCATTTTTGAGTATATGTGTATCAAGAAAATATAGAGCCATTTGCTGAACGACAAAATGTATAAATATTGTTTGGAACGTAATTAATTTATTGTCAATATTTCTGAAATATTTGTAAGACAATATTTGAAAGAAAAATATGCCGTTAAATACACTATCTCAATGACACAAATAGACGCTATAATTAAGTAAATACAGGTGCATATGTTGTGTATTCAATTTGATTTCGGTTTATTTCTCAGTCTCTAACAGTGTTCTATGGCACTCGATGTGACAGAAACAAAGTGTTGACCGAATTGAATAGTTGATAGAAGTTGCTCATCAGCTTTATGAACAAATTTTTCATTTGTTCAAGAAGAGTGTAAAAACACTTTCAAATAAAATGTTCGCAGCTTCTCCGAACACACGAGAGACATGGTTAAAAGTGTTTGCATTGATATGTGGAATTTTCATTGGGTGTTTATACGCATCTTTCGGGCGATCGGCGGCAAAATCATGGTTTGGAAGTTCAAATACGCAGTTCACAACGGTTGAACCAATCACCGAAAAACCGGAAATAAACGAAACGGCTCAATTTTTAGTGTCCGATGATACAACTATTGCCAACGCCTTGGCACAAAAAGTGCGAGTTCTTTGCTGGGTTCACAATAATAATCCGGAAAAAGAGCAAATTGATGCGATTCAGAAGACTTGGGGTGTTCGTTGTACAAAATTCATTGTGATAAAAAAATCCGGTGGCAATTCAACAGATTCTTTCAATATACCAAATGACAGAAATTCATCGTCAAATATTGAAAATGCCTATCGATTTATCTTCGACAATTATGCAACGAAATTTGATTGGTTTTTGAAAACGACGGGCAGTTCATATGTTGTAATGGAGAATTTACGTTATAAACTATTCCCATATAATCCAACCGATGCAATTGGAATAGGTCTGGCATTGAAAAATGGCAAATATAATCTAAGTTATCTTTCAGAGAAGGCTGGCTATGTTCTGAGCACAAAAGCATTAGAAATGCTTATAAAAGCATTTGATAAACAAGGGGATATTTCACTGGCGGAAGAGATACACAACGATGAACTTCGAATCGCAATGTTTCTGGATTTTGTCGAAGTCCCGTTTGCCGCCAATAATGATACGGATGACAAGCAACTGTTCTTCGATAAACATCTTGACGAATTCTTTCTACCGAATCCAAATGTTACCTTTCCATATCCGTGGTATCAAGATTATAAAGTTAACCACTATCTGGACCATGCATCAAACTATTCAATAGCGTTCTGTGACATCAGCTGGCAACATATGTTCGTCATGGAATTTCTCATTTATCAACTTCGACCGTACGGATTGGAAACAAAGCATCCACCGTTACCAGAACTTAATCAACATTAGCATATATTTTCAATCTATCTTTTACTTTTCCGATTTCAGTTTTGTTTCATTTGAAATCACTGATTATTTTTTGAATAAATTACTTTTAATGTTTTTGTTAAGGCTATTTTAAATGTCTATTTAATGTTCATTGGATAAATGTTCGAACAGAAAAGTGGCTTGGTATAGGCGTATTTTGTGAACTGTTCACATGTTTACATTTTGAATGCAGTTTAGAGTTTAAAATAGATGATTTCGAAAAGATAATTTTGTTTTTTATGTAATTATTATGTGGCCTTGTTTTTCGAATCAGTACCTACGTGAAAAATGCAAAATGTGAAATCAATTTGAATTTACGTTTATTGAATTCTAAACATTAACAAACCGTTCATGAACAAAAATATATGGGGTTGAAATGGTGATAAAGTGCGATTTGCCAGCACAGCTATTTTGGTCAGATGATGTGATAAAATTGGAGAACAAGCATTGGCGTCGTTAACTTTTTACGAGGCTGTCGACTTGAACATTTATGCCCTTGATGATAAAGTTTATCAGCTACACATTTCACAAATCTGGTAGCAATACATTGGTAGCACTATTCTTTCTGCATTTGAGCCGCTACCTTTTAGTCGCTCTGCACTTTATTATGGCGGCCGCGGAAAAGTGACTCAAAAATAGGAAAACGCTGATGTTCAAAAGTTTTCTTTTGTAGAAAACCATATTGAGTGAAAACTAAAGAGACTAGGCTTTATCAATTTGTGATTTGTTCAAAAGGCTAGGCACTTTTATACTTAAATTCAAAAGAGGGGCATTTTAAAAGGTAATGTAGTTCTCAGTATCATCTAACTTATGAAAATCATTACGAAAAATTGTCATATGAACGTGAAACATATACAAAAAATAATCCTCTTATAAAAGCATATGATGTACGTCACATATGCTAAAGCATAACCACAAAGACATTAGAATTGGCACATTTTCATTCAATTTACATTATTTATCAATTCTGGGAATTTGAAAAAAGTAATTAATTTTCCTCTTCATATATTATTCTGTCTTATACATTATTGAATTAACAAAAATAAAATATTAACAACTGAAAAGAATCCAAGCAAACATATCATGTAAATAAGTTTTTATCTCCAATCTTCCTACGTTTGAACAAAAATACTGATATTGAAGAATTGTGTGTTATTTAATATATCCAACATTGGAAATAGTTATCGCTGAGTTTAATAAAATAGAACAATGATATTGCGCCTCCGATCTCGTATTTTTGGGTATTTTATTTATATCCTGGTTGGTGTGATTATCGGGAATTGGTTCGGTTCGTTTTTTTTTGTGGAAAACTCCAATTCATATGCAATACATACAAAAAAACATAATCAAACACCGGAGCGAAAAAACGCTGCAAAAATTCGAATTCTTTGTTTGTTAAATACCAGTCCAAAAACACAATACCAAAAAGCAATTCATATTCAGCATACATGGGGTCGACATTGTGATAAATTGTTGTTTGCAAGTACTCTTACCGATGTCAGTTTGAATGCAATTGGCTTCAATTTAACCGATGCTCATAGTTTCGTATGGGGCAAAGAGAAATTAATGATGAAATATGTGTATGAAAACTTTGGACATCGTTTTGATTGGTTTTATAAAGCTGACGATGATACATTTGCCATCATGGAAAATCTACGAATTTTATTGGCCAAGTATTCAAATAAGGATCCCATATACCTTGGTTATAAGTTCAATACAACAAAACATCGATGGGGATACAACAGCGGTGGTGCCGGTAACAACTTTTCGACAAAGTTACTTTACAATGTTATTTAAATGATTGATTCAATTGTTTACAGGTTATGCACTGAGCAAAACTGCATTAGAAAGATTTGTGCAGATATCGTTAACAAACAAAACATTATGCCCTCAAATTGTTAAAGACAAAATGAGCGAAGATGTGAATGTTCCAAAGTGTTTGGCGAAACTCAATGTTTTTGCGGGCGATAGCCGGGATTGGGTGAAGCGGGGACGGTTTTTTGTGAATCGACCGGAATGGCATCTCTTTCCAGTGAAGACAAAATACAAATGGTATTGGAAACGAAAGTATTACTGGCATGAAGATGGACTTTATTGTTGCTCGAATTATTCAATTTCATTTCATCACATTCGACCAAAGAACTTGTATACGTTGTATTATCTTACATATCAATTCAAACCGTATGGAATCAATTATCAGCATCCAGCATTGCCGGAGAAATTGAACTTTAATGATGTTATTCGAACTCTGGAATTGGAACGGATAAACGTATCTTATCGAGGATATTGATGAAAAGTAACAGTTTAAATCAATTTAAATTAAATTGCAGTTGATTCGATGTAATTCATTTGTAGTTTAGAAAACAATTTGAACTCAAATGGTTGTTTTTTTTTGTTCCAAGAAGGTTTCATATAAAAAAAATAAAGCTAAAAATGGTTTTTGAAAGCTTTTGCCCTTGTTAATTGGATAAAAACGTAATTGGTAATCATACTAACATCATTATATCAGTGTTAAACCCAATTATATTTCAAGAACACCGGTTTATCGTTGCCCGTAAATTCATAATAGTCAAAAAAACAGTTCGAATAGAGGGAAAAAAATGCGGCCCATTGCAGTTAAGAGAGTAGTAAACGGATAAAATATTTGCCAATGAGCAAAGTAAATACACATTTTAAATACCACCTACAAAAGAAATAGTGCTATTCAAGTTTAAAATTGTCGCTTAATTTTAAAATTCCAAAATGTGTCATAAAATACGAATGTTTACTCTTCATTTCTCGAGTATTTGCCAAGCGTGTTTGAAATGAGAGCGTTTTTTCACATCGTCAAATAAATGGAAGAAAATGCTACCTTCACAGAGACTGATACGCATAAAAGTCTACCTAAAGCTGGCGAAAAAAAAAGACTGCAGAGTATAAAAAAATAGATAATTCGTGTAGAATGTGCGAGTGTTGACGAATGTCGAGTTGTACAGAGTCAAAATGATCAAAAGTAATGAAATACTAGAATCATACCACCATGTATGCATCCATTTGATATGCTTTGTTGTTGGCGTTTTTTTTTGTTTTAAAAATTGTGCATGCACTTTTTGTGTCATATTTATGTTTGGTCTAGTTGTGAGTGAGTACGAAGCTCATGTTTTATCTGGCGTAATCAGAATTCAAATTCGTATGCAAACATGAAATGTTGTGGAACGCGCGGGACACACACACACAAAGCATAGAAACGTGATATTCCAGAGAAAATTGAAAAGAGCTATTTACAGACACTCAAACATTTAATGTATGCAAAAATAAATTAAAAGTGTACCGGCCGTTTATACGGTACCAAACTAGAGAGAAAAAGTTTACTACATATATCCAAAATCCAATGCACAAACATCAGCGATAGCTTTGGCTATGTTGGAGCAAAATGGAATTAAATTACTGAAATTGGGAATGAATCGCAGCGATAAAAAGTGATTGGTGGCATTTGAAATACATTTGGAATGCGACTCACACCGAAAAAAGTGGCCAGAGATAAAAGAATGTGACACATAACTCAAAATTGAATGCACGAAAAATCACGTTCGAAATGATGATAAAAGGACTCAAATGAGAAGAACTGAATTGAAAATCGGTGCACGAAATTGGCATTCTACCGAAGAGACGACATTTTTAATTTAAATCAAAGTAATCCGAAATCAAACGCAATTCAAATTATCATCGTGCAGTAAATGTGTTTTTATGTGAACGAATCGACTTTGCGTCGCTAATGCCGTTATTTAAATTGCGTATACACCAACATGAACATGTTTAGTAGGAGTTCGTCTAGACTTGTGGCGAATGTACCGAATTAATGAGAAAAAAGGAGCGCAAAGCTCTTGATCAAGCGAGGGCAATATACTACATGAATAAAATGCAGCCGGGGACAGTACAACTCTCTGATGTTTCGTTCGTTTGTGAAAATTTTATTGGACATCCTCACCATCGAACGAGAGAGAGAGACACTGAGCAGAGAGGGAGAGCGAGTTTTGCGTCGAGTTGAACCACATTGCGCCGATAAAAATGATTGATTGCACTTAATGAAAATTTAATTGTTCCATTGGCAAATTCCCAGTTGATTGCACACTATACACCACTATTACGATTGTGGGGCTAGAAAATATACAATTTTTTCTGGTGAATAAAATATGAAAAGTTCACCGAAATGCAATAAACAACGAACGTGTTTCTGAAACGATTGCTGAATTTATTTATGCCACTTTTCATCTTGTTCTTTTTTCTCTCTTTCTCCCCTTGTGTACGTTGCTTTTTCTGTTTCAAGGCCCGATTGCGGTCGAAATGGAATGCAGAATGTTCTTTGATTCCTGCTTGGCGGCGGCAGTAACGCAGAGAAGAACGAGCAAGAGAGAGGGGTGGGAGAGAAAGGGAGACGAAGGAAGTGAAATACATAAATACCAATTGAGAAAATGTGTTGTTGAGTTGCATCAAATTCCCCCTAGGCAGTGTAAGTAAGTAAGAGAGTGGGAGAGAATAAGCAAAAACAGCGAGAGAGAGAGATATTTGAAGATCCAAGTCGTGGGAAGTCCACAAACAATAAAAAAAAGAAAATAAATATAAAAATATTGAATAAATTAAATTTTTATGTCGGAATGCAGACAATGGTGCGTTCATTTGCACATCGTATACCATGAATATTTATCGCATTCATTATTCGTCGACATATATATCTTTTCTGCCCTCCTCCGTGTCCCATTTTCATTTGCACCGTGGTTGAATATCCCGTATACATTTCTCTTGGTTTTTCCATTTTCTTGTCGTCGCTTTATTTTGATGTTGGCGTGGAAAAATATTCTCTTTTGATTTTCATTGGTTTTTCGTTTTGTCTGTGCATTGAAATTCAAATGGAATAATGCCATTGCACGGAATACACGTCGACGCATCTACGAAGATTTTCGACATCGTATTTATGTTATCAACATTATTTCAGATTCGTTTTGTCGTAACGTTTTTTTGTGTGTGTGTTCTGTATTTTGTTTATCCACCGTTTGCTGTTGCGCGCGATAATTGGCAATGGTGTGAAAGCATCGTAA